ACAGAGGGGTGTAAGAGGACAGATAGGTAGAATGTTACCGTAGCTGCACAGAACGCCGGAGGGGATGTGATACTATCCTGGGCGAAACATGCCTCTTCACCCAGGGTGGCTGTAGGTGCATGGGCATACAGATACTAACAGATATGCACGAAAAGAAGAAATCAAGAGGATAGTCGGACCTAGAACAACAATGAAAAGGTACCCAAAGCAACAATACAAACGCAGCCAAAACTACATACAAACGCAGCAAAAAAATGCTATATAAACGCAGCCAAAACAACAATACAAACGGATACAAAGCAACAATACAAATGCAGCCAAAACAACAATACAAGTGCAGCCAAAACAACAATACAAGTGCAGCCAAAACAACAATAAAAACGCAGCCAAAACAACAATACAAATGCACTTAACAATACAAACGCAGCCAAAACAACAATATTTCTAAGAGCAAGTTTGCGGTGCCAATAAAAACATACTCAGAGAATAATAAAAACATACTCAAAGAATTAAATAACATACTCGAGCAATATTAATAAACGTACCCAAGACACCCAGCTTATCCTCAATCATCTCAATGCATGGTTTGTTGTCGTAGAAGTCAATAAACGTCCACTCAATACCCTCTCTTACGTACTCCTGTGTTATTCAAGATAATAATGGTACATAAACGTATGAATGATGATGCGTCCGTATACATATGAATGATATATATATGTACGTGTAGTTATAAGTGTTATACATGTATGTACAGGTATGAATGCTATTTTTGAACTTATATATATGAATAGTATATGCGTACGTGTACGCATGAAGGTCTATATTTCCAGGTGCGCTATAGTCGAAGTCGCATGCTGTGGTCACGTGTACGTCAGCAGAAACTTGAAGCTGCGTTATATACATATACATGCATATCTGTATACGTATAAATAGACTTTACTATGCATGCATGTTATATATATATATATATATATAGATAAATATATATGAGTATACATGAATATATATGAATATATATATATGAATATGTATATATGTATAAATATATATGTATATATATACATATATATATGTATACATATATACACATATATTTACATACACACATACACACATATATATATACATATATATATATATATATATATATGTATATATATACAATATATATATACATATATACACATATATACATACACACACAGACACACATATATATGTATAATATACACACACACACATATATATATAATAGATTTATA